GAGACGTTTGAGAAAAATGAAGAAAAATAACATGATAAATCAGACAAATAAAACATTGTAGACATTAAAGTCATCATAAATGACAACAAACCCTTAATTTCAGACAGACACACTTGAAAAGAGGTTGTTAGAAAATGTCTGACAGAGATAAGGAGGTGGTAATATCATTATCAACTCAATTTAGTTATGTCTGTTCATCCATAATGTTCTTCTTCTCTAGTTCTTATATTAAAGACAATAAAGAGCGCACAACTGCTATGTAATATCAATCGTACTAAAAGGTAGTGAACATCAGACAATTTGCTAAAAGATGAAGTGGAGATCTTAGGCAACAGAGATGTAGTTCTACACAAGAACGCTGAAAATAACATAGATGGAAGATTTAAGGAAAGTGGAACCAAAAATAATACTTTGTATTTAGTATCAGAAAGTTTGGTTTGGCTTGTTTAATGGCACATAAACTCCTTTAATGCCAAAATTTAATTTCCTTGTGAGCTCTGGTAATTATTTTTTTTTACTTTTAAAATCTATTGCTGGGAATGTTTACTATAAAAATGTATTTTTATACTTTCATAGTGTTTTGACCCCAGTTTGGGGATTTGCTATTTTCCCATAGCTGGGACCCTAACACATACTACTGCCCCAAGTCAGAGTGAACTTGAGAACATCAATTAAGAGGTAGTTCCATGCTCCTCAAAATTTCCTGATCAGAGGCCTTGCTGCCAGATGTAGCTTATCATCATACACAGGATGTAGAATTAGAAAGGGGGCTGAAATTTCTGACACATAATAAGAAAAGAGAGCTTAGGGAATTTACAACAATTTAACACATATTGAGCCACAGATGGAAATATCAAGTCATCTACCTAATGGGCTTGCATAAATGGATGGCAGAACAGAGACTGGGAGGGATAATAAGAGCACAAATATTGCATAGTGTTACAAAGAACAGGAAGCTGTGGAGAGACGTGATCGCCAAAGTCCTATAGGGAACAACATACAAAAGAACAATATATTTTATATGGATGTACAAGTGGCCTGATGGTTATTGTCAGGCCAAGTTCAAATTTTAGCAAAGTCTGTTGCTTTCACTTTATACTCATGTCATTGTGAAAAGCAGGAACCCATCTTTTTTACTCCCTACAGACTTTTTTTAAGACAAATTTTCAGGAGAGATTAAGGAACAGGATAAAGAATTTTATCCTTGGTATGGCAAGCAGTTTAGGAGAAAAACAACTCTAAATTCACAACTTTAGAGAAAACAGCAGAAATCCATTCCACTATCTTTTCCAAGAATAGTCATGACAATTATTCACAGATATTAAAGTAATAGAAATGGTGGGGAGCCATAATTATCTATGTCTTGAAAGGACATAGTGTTTTAAAAAATAATTTGATATTTTTCTTCTTAAAGCATCTTCTCCATAACAATATTTTGATTGTGGGTCTAGCTTATATTTGAAATAATTACAGATCTTATAGCTGAATTGAGTCCATATAAAAGATAGGACTTTTGATACAGATTTTAAGGACAGGAATTCCCTCCCCACTTGGAAATTTGGTGTGATACAATTATTCTACTTATGTTTTCCACTTTCTTTGACCTTGAGTCATACAAAGGTAAACTTTGTAAATATCAACAGTATTTTTCTCTCTTTTAAACAATTTACAGTTATATCAAGTTGATAACATATTGCTTTCATTATTTTTTTTTATACACTCACCCTTCACACATCAACATTTGGCTGAAGCAGGGGCAAATGTATAAAATAGACCAAAGGTTTGGGGCCCACTCACCCACTGTATATAATAATTAGTAAATTTGATACCTTCTTTGACTTAATTAACCCCTACAAAGCTTGGATGCTGATAATATTTTAGAGAGGAGTTACTTAAAATCTGCCAACTCAAAGGTTGCCATTAGTTAACAATGTAGATTAGACAAAAGAGCTAAAATTTTAAGGAAACTTTATGCAGTAAAGGGTTAATATTTTTTAATATTATTATCATCATCATTGTTGATATATATATGCATGTGTGTTATAATAATAACAACAATGAAGGTGATAATAATAATATTAAAAAATATTAACCCTTTACTGCATAAAGTTTCCTTAAAAAAATATATATATATATATTTATATATAAAAACGGAATTGATCTAGTAAATTAATCTTGACAAAGGCACATAGCCTTCACTATTTAGGCAATTCTTTGAAATCCAGAGGATGACATGCACCTGTTTCCACCTGACAATAAGAATTATCAATCATTTCACTTTTAATTTTTGTCTTATACTCCATTTTTGTTAGCCTGTAAGCTATAGTGCTCTATTTGTCTTAGCCTTTGTTATAGCACATAATTTTTGTTAGCCTGTAAGCTATAGTGCTCTATTTGTCTTAGCCTTTGTTATAGCACATAATTTTTGTTAGCCTGTAAGCTATAGTGCTCTATTTGTCTTAGCCTTTGTTATAGCACATAATTTTTGTTAGCCTGTAAGCTATAGTGCTCTATTTGTCTTAGCCTTTGTTATAGCACATAATTTTTGTTAGCCTGTAAGCTATAGTGCTCTATTTGTCTTAGCCTTTGTTATAGCACATAATTTTGTTAGCCTGTAAGCTATAGTGCTCTATTTGTCTTAGCCTTTGTTATAGTTAACATAATTTTTGTTAGCCTGTAAGCTATAGTGCTCTATTTGTCTTAGCCTTTGTTATAGCACATAATTTTTGTTAGCCTGTAAGCTATAGTGCTCTATTTGTCTTAGCCTTTGTTATAGCACATAATTTTTGTTAGCCTGTAAGCTATAGTGCTCTATTTGTCTTAGCCTTTGTTATAGTTAACATAATTTTTGTTAGCCTGTAAGCTATAGTGCTCTATTTGTCTTAGCCTTTGTTATAGCACATAATTTTTGTTAGCCTGTAAGCTATAGTGCTCTATTTGTCTTAACCTTTGTTATAGCACATAATTTTTGTTAGCCTGTAAGCTACAGTGCTCTATTTGTCTTAGCCTTTGTGATAGCACATAATTTTTGTTAGTCTGTAAGCTACAGTTCTCTATTTGTCTTAGCCTTTGTTATAGCACATAATTTTTGTTAGCCTGTAAGCTATAGTGCTCTATTTTTGTTAGCCTTTAGATTATAGCACATAATTTTTGTTAGCCTGTATGCTACTGTACATAATTATGTTTCATTCTCCCTATTAGCCTGTAAACTATAGCACACTACTTTTATATAATTTTCAAGAAATATCTAATAATCACTTACAAAAATATTTATTTTGTTTAATTTAAAAATCTTCCTCCCTTTTTTAATTTAATTGATGATTTTTCATCAACTTTTCTGATTAAATTTGCATAACTTAAGGAAGAGAGTTCTGGAAGGAAAATTTTATTTGTTGATTTTATATCAATTTATATTGGTTCTCCAGTTAATAATCGTTTTGCATTTGAATAATGCTACAGAATTTGTTAAGAAAATTTTAAAAGCTTTCTTTCCACAAAAAGACATCATAAATTGGTCATTATTTAATTAAATCAGTCTTTTTGACAAAGACAAAAAAAGATCCTCTCTTGTAAAAAAAATGTCTCTCCTTTATATTTTAGGTCAAGTTCTTTCATTGCAAAACAGTTTATATTTTTTATATCAGTAAATAATGACAATATAAAGGAATGAATGAATAGTAATAAACCATCCTGTAAGACTATTGACCTGGAGGCTGAAGAGGACTGTAGTTTAGTCCATAAAATGAAAAGAACATCAAAGACTTCAATTCAGAAGAAATCAATAAGCACTATTCAGAAGGGCATAATAAAAAGTAAAATGTTTTCAAGAAAAATATACTTCAGATTCAAAAATAAAAATCATATAGAACAAATTGCAGCTATCTTTTTTGGTAGCTTGTTTGAGTCATAAAATATTTTCAATTTTATTTGAAATTTCATAACTTTGAAATTCTCTTCTTTACTTTTGTTTTAGGATATTGCAATGGACTTTGAGTGACAAGAAAATACTTAGCCGTGCCTTTTAAATATGGAAGCAGAAGAATATCAGAAGAAAGAAAAAACAAAACAAAAAGAATTCTTTCAAGAAATGATAAAATGGTTTGATGATTTTAAAATGAAATACTTTGCAGGAGGGGAAAAAATGAAATGAAAGAAATGTATGTGTCACTAAGGAAAACCATAGGAAAAGATACTGTGAAAGTTTGTGAGTTTATTTTAAAAATATAAAATTAAAAAAAGTCAACTTGTTAAGAAACACAGTAAAAAAAAAAAATGAAGTACAATATAACTTTTTTAATTTTTAAGTCTAATAAATTTGACATTTCAAGAAATTCCAAAACTTATATTATGAAAGTAAGTTTGAAAGAAACATATTACACTCAGAATAATGTCATTTTGTTGCTATTATTATAATTGAAATAATAATAATAATCATAATTCAGAACCAAGACATGCAATGTTGGTAATGTACAAAGGAAAACAGGAATCAACAAAAGGAATTCAACTACCAAACAATAAAATCAGAACATTGAATAGAGAAAACAATCAAATCCAATCTCCAAGTCACTTATAACTGTTATGAACAAGGAAAAGAGATTATGTTAGATTATAGATATAGCTGTCCTAGTAAACATTAGAAAAATTATAGAGCAAAAAAAAAAGCAAAAAAACAAACAAAAAAAAACAACAAAATAAAATAATAAATTAAATAAAATGATCTCACCCAAGAAATGAAGAAGATATTATGTCTACCAAGGTGGATAATTAATCCCAGTTGCAGATACCTGCTCAGGCACAATTATTTCTTCAACATCCACAGTATCAACCTGTGGTTTATACTGCAACTATGCCAAACAAAAAAGGCATATGTAACACCAGAAAGAGACTTGTCTGTATACGCAGTACTATGAACAGGGATAAATATATAAGAATTCTGAAGAAAAATCTACTCAAGTCTGTAACAAAACTAAAACCTGGGAATTTCACATTACAGTAGAACAATGTTCCCAAGCATACGTCTCAAGAGACTCAAAGACAGTTTTGGAAGAAAAAAAAACATGAATGTTTTAGACTAACCAAATCAGAGTCCAAATGTGAATCTGATAGAAAACCTCTGGAGGAATCTGAAAATTGCTTTTCATTGACAGTCACCAATAAACCTGATTTTTTTTTTTTTTTTAAATTCTTTTTTAAGCGTTTCACCCTAAGCAAGGCGGGAAGCCACTAGTATACAAGGGGTTACAGAGAATTGGAGCAGGAGCAAATAGGAGTGATAGAGGAAAGGATGAAGAGAAGGATAGATGTCAATTGACATTACATTTGAATAGCTGGAGATTATAGCTATTAGGGCAACAGGAAAAGGGGAGGGTGTTCCACAGGCAAGAGGTGTGAGACATGAAGCTATTGGAGTAGAAGAGACGGCTACATTTAACAGTTTTGAGAGTGAATTTTAATACGGAAAAGAAGAATGGGGTGAAGTGTCTGGGCAACATTGCACAAAACTTGTCACAGTCTATCCAAAGCAATTGTTGTTTAGGATGTGTGAGTAGTATAAATAATGTCAGCATAGTGAGTGGAATTCAAATTTTGGTCAAGTCAGTTGTGCTCACTTTCACACAAATGTCATTGATAAAGGCATGAATATGTCTCTTCTCCCCAATTTATGGGTTAAATAGCAGGGCAGATTGAGTTAGCTTTGGGTGGCAACCTCCCTAGCAGAAGGACAAAACCAGCCTGAAGAACTCAGAATTAGGGGTGTGACAATGAAATCAGGCTTGACTGATCATGTATAGAGAGAAAAGGGTAGTCACTAACACCTGCGGAATGAAGCAGAAATACTAAAGAAAAGTGAAGACATCTGAAAGAATCAGTGTATATACCAGACTATGAGGACCTCATTTGTAGGTATAGCAAAGAAATAAATGATATGGGAGTGATTAAAAAAGAGAGATGAGAGCAAAGCTTTCAGCAGCAGCAGCAATAGCAGAAAAGAGATGACTTGGCAAATTTAGCCAAGTGTCTCAGGACCATTTAGATTAGGCTTAAGGATACAAATTCTACACTCAAGATTGTCCCATAAGACAATAGCCTAGAGAATTGCTTCCCAACTGATTTTTGGCCATGCCTCATTTTGGTATTTCTAAAATTCTGGTGACCCCCGGTAATATTTAATTCTTACATATTCAAAATTTTACTGCAATTCACATGAAGGAAGCCATTAACTTGGTCCCTAAACAAGCCTCCAAAGACCATGGCGTCCATGAAAAAGAAAAAATAAAAAACAAAAAGACAGTTAAATATATATAGTTTCAAAATATATAATAGAGAACTGAAAGACAGAAATATAAAATATTTGAATGAAAGTTTATTCTGTAATATACTTTGATCTTTTTAATCATGAAATAATAATGCAAAATGAAATTTGAGCTCATGTTGGTATAGTAAGTCAAAGGTTGTACATCCTACGCATGCCTCACCAAAATATTACCATGCCCCACAGGTGGGACATGCATCCCACATTGGGAATTATTGGCCTAGTGGATTAAAGCATTGGTTTGTGAATTTGGTGATATAGTAATTCTGAGTACAATCTCAGAGTTCAATCAGTCAATTGTGTGCCATGTGTGATACAGGCTTAGGCGATCATGTATAGGCAGACATTTTCCCACAATAGGTTGCCATTTCTTTCTGTGGTAGACCAGTTGACATCCAAGGCTATAGAATCCGGCCTGTCCTGCTATTTACCCATAGCTGGGAGGAGAAGGAGAGGATTCATATCTTTCCCAAGGGTATTAGCTTGTAAGTGGATGTAATGGAATTTGACTGGAATTCCAATTTCAGAGTTAGGTAGTGCAAATTTATACTTAGTGGAAATGGAGCAAGCATCTACTAAATAAGAACTAGACAGAATATTCTTGGACAAGAGTAGAAGATTGAGAACAATTTACTCTTGTAGACTAAATTAGTGATTCAGTTTGAAATTCACTGAAGGTTATTTGTATCAACAAGCAGTTGGAAGGCAAAATGGTCAAAACATTGTGATAAGAACAACAAAGATAAGGACAATCATTATTAGACTGGGTGTCATGCTGAGTATAGGGGGTTTCATATATTTGTACTCAAGTATTGTTTTGTTGACATGCTGCCATCTCACTAATGATGATGATGATGAGGGGGAGGAGGATGAGAAAGACCATCAGTATTATTTCCTCCTTTTGTAAATAGAAGTTGATGTGTGGGTGGAGTGAGAGCAATAAGATGGTGGACATAATGGAGAAGAGAGAAGTAAGGGGTGGGTCTGACAAGAAGTGGGTGGCACACAATAACCTTGCTACCACTTTCCTTAACATATTTCCATATTGCAACCACTGCACAGTGATCAGCTTGTTTGTTTTTTGTCTGAGTTTTATCTAAATGAGGACTATTGAAAGAAAATTCCCCCCACCACCATGTCACCCCCCTGAGTGAACTCCCTTGTTTCACAAACCACTTATCTCCCCCAACACACCCAATTTCCCAACGCAAAGTTCACTCTGATTCTTCTGAAGTATAAAACTCCAAGTAAGAAATTGTAATATTTTTTGGAAAACAACTTTGTACAATTTAAACAGTTGTAGTCATTGCAACAGTTCTAATTTATTTTCTTTTTCATTCTTCTTTATTTTTTCTTTCTTTTTATCTAATTCACTCTTTTCTCTTTCTTTTCCTTTTATTCTACATTTCTTTTTTATTTTTATTCACTCTTTTTTCTTTTAACATTTTATTCACCATTTTCTTTTTCTTTGTTCTCATTTTATTTACTTTTCTTTTTCTTCCGTTCACTCTTTTTCTTTCCTTTTTATTTCACTTTTTCTTTTATTCACTTTATTTTTTCATTTTATTCATTCTTTTACCCACCTTTTCTTTTTTTTTTATTTCCTTTCTTTTCATTATCTCACCATTTTCCTTTCTCTGTTATCCTTCTTTTATTTCCCTTTCATTCCTTTCTTTCACTCTAACCATCTTACAAGCATCTAATTCTTGTCTTTACTTCAGCTTCCTTTTTTTTCATTCATATGTTTATTTTCCGTGCACTCTTTTCTTTCTCTTTTACACAATTTGCAATTGTATTTTACCTTTTCTTCAATTTTTCATCATGTAATTTCTTCTTTATTTTTCCTTAATTTTTATATTTTCCAATCTATAAGCATTTATTTCCAAAATAAGTTCTTTATTTTTCTAATCGTTTTACTTTCTTTCTCTTTCCTCAAAATCACTATACTTTCTTCCTCTTTCCTCAAAACATTATGCTTTCTTCCTCTTTTCTCAAAATCATTATGCTTCCTTCCTCTTTCCTCAAAATCATTATGCTTCCTTCCTCTTTCCTCAAAATCATTATGCTTTCTTTCTCTTTCCTCAAAACATTATGCTTTCTTCCTCTTTCCTCAAAATCATTATGCTTTCTTACTCTTTCCTCAAAATCATTATACCTTCTTCCTCTTTCCTCAAAATCATTATACTTTCTTCCTCTTTCCTCAAAATCACTATACTTTCTTTCTCTTTCCTCAAAATCACTATACTTTCTTTCTCTTTCCTCAAAACATTATGCTTTCTTCCTCTTTCCTCAAAATTATTATGCTTTCTTCCTCTTTCCTCAAAATCATTATACTTTCTTTCTCTTTCCTCAAAATCATTATACTTTCTTACTCTTTCCTCAAAATCATTATACCTTCTTCCTCTTTCCTCAAAATCACTATACTTTCTTCCTCTTTCCTCAAAATCATTATACTTTCTTTCTCTTTCCTCAAAATCATTATACTTTCTTCCTCTTTCCTCAAAATCACTATACTTTCTTTCTCTTTCCTCAAAACATTATGCTTTCTTCCTCTTTCCTCAAAATCACTATGCTTTCTTTCTCTTTCCTCAAAATCACTATGCTTTCTTTCTCTTTCCTCAAAATCATTATACTTTCTTCCTCTTTTCTCAAAATCATTATACTTTCTTCCTCTTTCCTCAAGATCATTATACTTTCTTCCTCTTTCCTCAAAATCACTATACTTTCTTCCTCTTTCCTCAAAATCACTATACTTTCTTCCTCTTTCCTCAAAATCATTATACTTTCTTCCTCTTTCCTCAAAATCACTATACTTTCTTTCTCTTTCCTCAAAATCACTATACTTTCTTTCTCTTTCCTCAAAACATTATGCTTTCTTCCTCTTTCCTCAAAATTATTATGCTTTCTTCCTCTTTCCTCAAAATTATTATGCTTTCTTCCTCTTTCCTCAAAATTATTATGCTTTCTTCCTCTTTCCTCAAAATCATTATGCTTTCTTCCTCTTTCCTCAAACCTCTATTTTTCTTTTATCTGTTTCTGTTATTTCCCTTACAAGATTTTCCTCATAATTTTTTTCTTTCATTATGACACTCTTTCTTTTTCTCTTTTTATTGTTCTCTTCTTTTTTAATCTCTTTTCTAATTTTTATTTTTTATAAACCTTCATTTTTCTTTTCTTTCAGATTTTCCTTCAAACCAACTTTCCTGTTTTCTTTTCCCCCATTACCCTCCCCACTTCATATTTCCAGAAATCATCAAAGACAATAGAAATTTCCAAGAAAACAATACAGAAACCAGAATCCAAGAACACTTTTCCTTGCTTTCTACTTAAAAGCAATATATGTGTTCTTTATGCAGAAGTAAACAAAAAGAATTCCAAATTTATTACTCATAACATTTCTTTGTGAATAAATATTTATTTTGTATTCAACTGTTTTACCAAATATATTTTAATGTTGGTTCTTTAAGTCAAAACAAAATGGTACATCAAATTCTCAGTCTACAAATGATTGTTTCCAAAATAATGTTTGCGTGTTTATATGAGTTTATGACCTATGTAACGATTTATTGGAATAAACACTGTAATTATTGAACACAAATATTCTTTGGTTCCCAAATTGAAAATCAAATAAAGATATGTAAATATCTTGTTACAAAACAATGTACAATTAAAAAAATATATAATGCATTTTATTCATGTACATTGTGAGTAATTTTGTACGAAAATCAATCAAAAGCCAATACAGTAGCTGGAAGAATTTCAAATTATCTGTAATATTTTGGAAATTTTGTTCACTCATCAACAAAACCACTGTCACTAACCCTTTAAGGCCAGAAACACACAAATATGCCATCATGTTTCAATTGATTACTCCAGGAGCATCTGAACATACCTGCACTGTAGTTTAGTACGCAGCATTAATATCTATCACATGATGCACTACAATCCTGGGTATGATGATAAACTACATCTGGCAGCAAGGCCTCTGATCAGGAGATTGGAGGTTTGAAACCACCTCTTAATTGCTTTTATTCTTTGGTCCACTCTAACCTGGGGTGGTAGCACCTGTTAGGGTCCAAGCTGTGGGCAATTAGTGAACTCCCAAACAAAAACAAAACACTATGGAAGTATAAAAATACATTTTTATAGTAAAAATATCAGCATTACATTTTTATATAAAAAAGTTTCCAACGATACCTATTTATAGTAGAATGGCCAACAATACATTTTATCTGTAGTTGAAGCCATAATTGTGTTCAAAATAAATTAATAACCCATAGAAGTTGATATGCCATTATACAAAATCAACCAACAAATGATTCACTAGAAGTATTGGAAATATTTATAAGATTTTCAAATTTCTAAAACCATATTTTATAAGTAGCAATACCAAAGAGTCTAAATTTAGTATCATTTGAAAGAGGAATCAATTTACTTTCATATAAAATGAACTTTTAAGACTTGATTTTATAAGATCAATTGGACATAGATAAGCTAATTTCATCCTTTAAGGCCAGAAGCACCCAAATGCATGTGCAAGTTACACATGCTTGCATATCAGTTTGCAGTTATGACACCCATCACATGATCAACTAAAAGTGCTAGAAATGTACAACTTTAACAAAATTGTAGATTTCTAAAACCTCATCACCAGTAATACTAAGGAGGCTAAGTTTCATATCATTTGAAAGAGAAATCAGTTGACTGTCTTATAAAATCAATTTGTAATAATTGATTTTTCAGTGGCTTTTGAGATGTCTTCATTTAATTGTACTAATATCACATATTCAGATTTTTTTCAACAATTCACTCAAGTGTCAAGGGATTTAATTAAAATCACCTCTAAGGGTTGAAGAGTTTATGGAAAGCACAGAAGGGGTAAGTTGGTAAGAACTTCAACCCTACAATTATAACTTAGATTTCACATTTTCTTTTTAAATTTATTTTTAGACACTATTTTTAAAAATTTTATTGAGCAAATATAAAGAATAAAAATGTCATGAAGAAAATGGCAGAAACAAATTTTCATGTAATGTATCTTGGGGAATTAAAATTTAAAAAAAATTCTACTTCAAGAAACCAATTCTGTCCTTTTAAGTTGAAAAAGTTTTTCAAGATTGTCATCATGAATGCACACCATATTTTTCATGAACTTGTAATATTTCATTTTCAATGGTTTTTGAGATATATCAATTTAGTTGCACTAACATCGCATATTCAAATTTTTCAACAATTTTGTCAAGACTCCAGAGATTTAAAAATTGAAATCTCTTGATCCTTTGAAACCAAGCAGCCATTATACCAGCCATTGTTTGAATGTGTATATAACCAGGTGGCTAGGTATACTGCTCAGAATCATGGACTGCATAGGCCCAGGGTTGGAGATATGTACTTAACAGAGGGCCAGGTCTCAATAGGTTACGGACTGATAGAGTTAATTGGAACCAAGTGGCTAGGTATTGTATCCACTTACCACGTAGCATCTTCCCATTGTAGTAAGAAGAACAAAATCAGGGTTAAAACTTTATTTGCCAATAGTCAGAACTGAAGGATTTTTCTTATGAGCAACTTTTTGTTGTAGGCTGTATCAGGTGAGTATATCCAGCCTCTAACATTAAAAAATGTTAATGTTTCACATTCTTCAATGGGTGGGTAGTGAATAAATCTTACTATATGGCTTGTGGATTCTTTCTAGCAGAAACCCAAATTTTCCACAATAGCCAGACACACCCAAGACACATTTGTACTGGTTTCTAAAAAACAGAATCATGCGAATTGAAAACTTATCTCCCACTTTCTATACATAATATACTTTTAAAAAAAATTCTATGTCTCTTCAAGCAGTAGATTATCATGGCTTTCCACAGATTTCTTTTCTTTATTATCTGTAAATTGCTATGAGGCAGTGATAAAAAATGTATTTTCTAACTAATCCAGCTTCACTATATTGAGCTTGCTCAGGGATCCTATCTACAGTTACAAAAACATTCCAACAGTTATTGTTTCAATAGACACAACCACAAGTATCTTAGCTAGTCTTTTAACATAATTTCTTTTAATTTTCAAATGACAATCTCTGGATTTTATCAACCCAAAACTTCTATTTGTGATGTTCTGACTATGCATAGACATGATCTTGAACTCCAACATGAGTTACTGTCAGAACACTCCAGTGAAAGAGAGACTGTTAATTAAATAGTGATAAACATTTGTTATTCCTATTTTAATTTTCTTCTAAGGAAACCCCCATCAATACTGGAATGAGCGATAACAGCTACTGAACTTGAAAAATCAATTTTTCTGAAAAATTGTTTTAAGAGAAAGATTTTATAAATTCCAACTGAAAGCAGCACTAGCTGTTCAGTTAATGAATGTCAAATGTTTCCTTATAAGGAAACGGCTAATATTACCATATCTTAAAAAAGCAGTTCTAAAGTAAATATTCTCTTACTGGTCACCAAATTCAATGTACAATTTCAGAGATTTTAAAAGTTCATTTAAGTTTATTGTCAAAACTTTCTACAATTCCTGATGTTTCAAAAATGTGGATCCTATTATGGCTTCTGTAATATCCTCTCATAATCAATTAAATAAAGCAAATATAAATTTTTAAAAAAATCAATAAAAGGCACACATTCAAAGCACTCACAATCTGGCCTCGAGGTCTGCAACAAGAAAAAACAACTTCTCTCAAAGTCTCCTGTTCTCTCTTTAAACATTTGTGCCAATAGAGTGCCATTTAAAATCTCCTGTTCTTACTTCAAAAAGGAAAATGTTTCTATTCAGCACATTTTCAATACAGATACAGTTTGACTGTTTCCCCCAAAAACATAACACATTAACAACCACAAATATTTTTATTTCATTTCCTTAATGCTCTGTATGTGACTTCATTTGCGATACAAAAAGTCTATCCTGTCACTGAAGGTGACATTAATCCCTGAACAATAGTTTTTAAATTTTATAGTTGTGTTGTCATATCCTGCTATGGCAACAGAAAAGAACTTTGAGTAAAATTAACAATAGGAGTAATGTAACTGAGAATCCTTGAAAAAGAATGCAGTGGAAAGGGAAGTAATATTAATAATGCAGAGTGCTGAAGGTTAACATTCAAATACTTTTTATTCTTTATCAACTTCCTATTCTAGTTTATTCATTCTTGTTTAGTTACAAGTAACTTTGTGTTTTTAAAAGTTGGTAATTAAACACAGTTCACCTAGTTTACTAATACTTTACTACAATCAAAATCTAAAGTACATCCCATAATATTCACTTGGCTAGCAACTTTATGTAACTGCAGAGATAGCATGCTTCTTTTCAGACGCTAACACTTTTTTTGCTTAAAAACCTGTGAAAAATACATTAGCAAAAAAGATTACATTATTTCTGTAGAGTAAATAAAGAGCTTTTTAGATTTTAAGAACCAGTTTTAAAAATAGATCTAAGAGGCAAAAAACAAAACATATATATATATATCAATATGTTATAACATACCTGTTTCTGTTGCCGGCTGCAGTAATCTCCCTGGAAATATGGATATTCAACTTGTGCTTTTTTGCCGTTATAACAAGAGAGGATATTTTTGTATATCTGGTCACGAACAGCTTCCATATTGTAAACACATACGGCTGAGTGCTTGGTTGAGGAGTTTGTGAATACACCGACCATCAGCGTTGTGCTCCGATGTCTAGCACTTGACAAATGGTGAAAATTTGAGGATACGATGGTAATTGCTGATGCTGCTTTCAGTATATTGTAACTTCTGTGCTTATCATGACAGATAAGGGGTGCATCCACAAACGACTGCAGTTCCTTATCTGACTGACATAGTTGGATAATCTTTGATTCATTCTTGCTTTTTGTGGAATGGACAGCCAGAAAATAGCTGTAATTAAGGTCACTGAATCCAGTGATATACTGCAGATCCACGTCTTTTTTAAATTTCTCATTGTACTGGATCTCACCAAATTTCCTCCAGGATTGTTTGCTTGACACTTTCCACGTGGTGATGTCTTTGAGAAGCCCACTCACAGTGTAGCTCGTGGCCAAGTAGAGAATGTCCTTTTGGTGGGCGATAAATGCAACTGTGGAATCATTGTGCCGGTTAGCTGCCATTGGTTGTTGGATTTCTTCGTAGCTTGAAATGTTGTCCACATT